AGAAGAAGAAGAAGAAGAAGAAGAAGAAGAAGAAGATGGGCGGAAGAGGAGGAGGAGGAGAGAAGAGAAAGAAGAAGAAGATGAGTGGGGAGGCGGAGGAGGAGAGAAGAAGAAGAAGAAGAAGAGGGGGGAGGCGGAGGAGGAGAGAAGAAGAAGAAGAAGAAGAGTGGGGAGGCGGAGGAGGAGAGAAGAAGAAGAAGAAGAAGAAGAAGAAGAAGATGTACTATGTCGACGTTAGGGTATGGCGGTGGGGTACGGCGGAGGGAAGAGTAGTAGGAGAGAAGAAGAAGAAGAAAAAGATGATGGGGAGGAGGAGGAGGAGAGAAGAAGATAAAGAAGAAGAAGATGATAGGGGGAGGAGCAGCAGTGAAGAACTCGAAGAAGAAGAAAAGCTGAACTATAAAAAGAAGAAGAAGAAGAAGAAGAAGAAGAAGAAGAAGAAGAAGAAGAAGAAGAAGAAGAAGAAGACGAGCGGAGTTTTTTTTCTTTTTCTTTTTTCTTACCTGTCGTTTATCTCGCGACCTATCGCTAACGAATGTAAAAAAAAGGAAGAAAAAGAAGATAGTCGGAAGAGGAGGAGGAGTAGAGAAGAATAATAAGAAGAACATGAGGGGGAGGACGACGACGAGAGATGAAGAAGAAGAAGAAGAATAAGATGAGGGGGGGAGGAGGAGGAGGAGTGAAGAAGTCGTGGAAGAAGAAAAGCAGAAGAAGTAGAAGAAGAAGAAGAAGAAGAAGAAGAAGAAGAAGAAGAAGAAGAAGAAGAGAGGGGGAGGAGGAGGACGAGAGAAGAAGAAGCAGAAGAATGAGCGGAGGAGGAGGAGGAGGGAAGAAGAAGAAGAAGAAGAAGAAGAAGAAGAAGAAGAAGAAGAAGAAGAAGAAGAAGAAGAAGANTGCGGTGGTGCTGTATGCCAGGCTGCAGTTTGTGTAGACTGAGTGCTAGAGCCAGTGTGTTGCCTCACTGTTGTGCGGCGGTGCTGTATACAAGGCTGGGAGGGTTCCTAAGTTATACCTCCTATGTATTTGTTTTTCAAATTTTATTTATTTATTTTATTTGGAACATCATATCAAAGTTCCGATCTATGTGCAGGGAGAAGCCAGCTGGTTTTGGAAGTCAGCGGCCAAGATGATGGAATAGCGGCAAACCATCGCTTAGTCCCATAGGGGAGTAAGGTTCCTAGGTTTCCAAAACTGGCATGTGAACTGGCCTGGGTATTATGCTGATGCCTCTTCAGCTTTGGATTTGAGGTCACTGGGGAGCCAGCTTTCTGAGTTTCGGGGGAAAGAAAAAGATGATCTCTTTCTGGCTTTTGCAATGGCCACAGCAGATTGTCTTCACCCAAAAAGCAAGTGGGAAAAGGAAAAAGCACGGAAGAAGATGGGAGGGGAAGAAGAAGAAGACACAGAAGAAAGGTTCCGGTGGACCCACCAAATAAGGCAAGAAAGAAGGGCCCACTGGACCCAGCAAACAATTAATGAAAAGAAGCCCCTGCCTTCAAACGAAGGAAGGGAAGGAGAATCGAAAGAACGCAAAAAATCTTTTTTGCACAATCAGCATTGCTGGAATGGTTCCAGAAGATCAGGCTACGGCGGCCCACCCAATGGTGCTCAGTTACCAGCATCACGGTGTGATGTATCAGTAATCTTGCAGATCCCAAACCGGTTCAGGTCCTTCTCTTCACTGGGCCTCGCACCACAAGTAACACGCTGTAGATTTCAAATCTCAGGCAGGCACCCAGCCTTGGAGGATCCAATAGTTTCCAAATGCGGACATGGGTACTTTTGGCATTGAGATTCTAAGGGGCATCTTTCCATTTCTGTTTGTGTTGGTTTGTTTTGTTCTTTTTTTTTCTTTTTTCTTTGTACAATTGGGTCTTTCGCCTCGAGAGACCCCACCCATTGCCCATTCATCAATTCGCCCTAGCTCTTCCCCCAGTCCCTCAGCCCCACCTTAGTGTCTGCCGCTCAGGACAATCACCTCTCCAACCATTTCTTGGTGGGTTGACCTGACAGGGCAGTGATAGCACTCACTAGCACTAAGCAGGGTATCCCATTCAGCCCTCGTTGAAGCAGATTTGAATTAGCCCTGTCATACAGGTACTTCGGGTGCTAGGCATGAGCCTTTTCGGTACAGGCCCCGTGAGTAGACTCTAGATGACCCCAAAGTTCTATACGCAAGCCCCTCTATATGTATGTGAACGTTCTCCCTGAGCTGCCACATGCAATGTCAAATGGCTCAGGCCAAGGTCTAACCTTTGACAGATCCTGATGTCCGTGAAAAAACCCCACTCGTGCAGCTGTACTGTTCATCACATTCGTCTAAGAACTCTTAGACGAATCAGATATGAGATTTCTACGATCTAGGACTCATCAACATCATAGTACACTGTAGAAGATAAGGATAAAGACAGAAACTCAGTCCATAACTCATGACCTAGTGTTGGCTATCCTCCTAGTACGTAGCATAGGGTTGAGGCTGGCATAGCAGTTCCTTAGTACGGGATGTCGGGGGAGTCATGGCCGGAACAGGCTCCAGGGACATACGAGGGAACGGAGGATACCCAGCTCTCTATCATCACCACACAACTAAGCTAGATGGGAGTCACTGTGCACCCTCATGAAGACCTGTAGTAGCGTCTTCAAACCTAGCTCCCGAAGTCCCCGTGCAATCAGGCTTGCACGGCGTCTGCTTCAACCAGGGCTGAGCAGGGGGTAGGCATCTCTGCTTAGCCCCGGTACCTGCAACCGCTGTCTGGTCAGGTCACGCCGCGAAGATGGCAATTGGTGATGGTCCTGGGTGGTTAACACTAGGGTAGGACACAGGGGGTGGGGGTGCGCCAGGGCAAAAAGATAAGAGGAAGGGTGGGTGGGGTCTTCAGAGGGGTTCATCTGGACAACCGAGTGGCCGAGTACTGTGGGTGACTGCCATCCGTCTAGTATCCCACCTCTACAACAACCTGGGCTTTCTCAAAAAAAAAAAAAAAAAAAAAAGACTAACCAATTTATTTTTATTTTTATTTTTTTTAAGTCCAGGGTGTTGTAGAGGTCAGTCAGTGAGTGCACAGTGATCGCCTGGAACTGTGAGCCGTGGGTGTCCCTTATGAGACCCCATCCCAACCCATCCACGCGTCAATACTCCTAGCGCACCCCCTATCCCACTATCCTACCTCAGTGTGACCAGCACTCAGGACCATCGCCCTACCCATGAGCAGGCAACTTGGACCGAACAGCAGTGATAGGCACCAGGGCTGAATCGGCCCTGGTGGATGCGGAATTGAACGAACCTTGCAGAATGAGAACTTCGGACGCCAGGCCCAGACAATGAACTACAGGGCCCCATATATAGCCACCGGACAGTTCTATCCGAATGTCAGTAGGAACTGCACCCAACGGCACCCTATCCAACCAACCCGAACCTACTGCAGGCCCTAGACCCCACCAGTGACTAACTCCCCAGTCTGTTTTTTTTGTGTGTATACTCTGTGAATCTGTGTATGGATGCCAAACAACCATTCGCCAACCTGAAAACGACTAAATCAAGCAAATGGCCTGTGGCTCAGGGGTTAGGGCACCAGTTGGAAATGCACATTGTGGTCTGAGGTTGCGGGTTCAAACTCCACATCCACGCACAGGGACACGGGCAGGCGTTTACATAACGCACAGCCATTTGCACAACCCCCTCCGGCTGATGCGTGGTAAGGATTACAGACACTGCCTGTGCACCACCCAAGGGGTTTAGTCCATGGTTGTTGTATGCTGGGTCTATGAGAGGTTTGCCTGACGTTCTTGGTCCATGGGGTTGTCCGAGTGATTGTGGGGTTCAATACCTGACAAATGAAGAAAGTTCAAAAAATTCTGGCCACGCAGACAGGGTTGTGGGAGAATGGTCAAGTGGAATTGGTTACCTTAGGGCTCTGCTTTGGGGGGGCATGGGCTACGGGTGGGATTCAATCAGGGACTCCGCTGGGGCGAGGGTAGGGGATGTCTTAGGGGTCCCATTTGTAGGAGTAGAGGTGGGATAGGCTCCAGTGGAGGATATCGTTGGGGAACCTGGATGGAGAACACAGTATGATTAGAGGAGTCCAGAGCAGGTCTAGTTGATGATAGAGGTGGGGGAGGGGATGGTGGCTGTCAACCCACTGAGGATGGATACTAGAGATATTCTGGGGGACGATAAAAAATGACTAGAGACCCTGTTGATGATAGAGGTAAGGGAAGTGGATGGTGGCCGTGAGCCTGCTGAGGACAGAAACTGGAGATGCTCTAGAGAAGAGGAGCGGGCCAACAGACTGAGCTCCCCCGAGACTACCGCTTGCACTTCAAGGATTGGACGACTGTCGACCCCAATATACCGCTGAGAGAGGCTGAGATGTTCCCTGACCCTTTCCCATCGCACCCCCTGGCGATGGAAGTTAGGACGCAGTAAACGAACAGTAAGGAAAGCATTCCAAGTTTTTTTTTTTTTTTTGAAAACACTCCCCCGCCAGTGCTAGTGTTGCTGGTAAGAGCAGACACCACTACCACCCGGGGAGAGACTCCATCTATTGGTGGGGAGCATCACCTGCTGGAAAGCGGGTCCAGCGTCCCATGAACAGATTGAACAGATCAAAAGTGCCATAAGGAGAGCTTCCTGCCAGCATTGATTGCCCTGGCATCCAGGGGATTGACTGAGCAGGAGGTACAGAGGGGGGGAACCTCTTCACCTAGGAACCGGCGCCAAATACCTGCTGCTGTACTCTAGTTCCTCCCTCCCCCTACCATCCCATAGCTGTATTTTTTAAGCTGAGAAAGCAAATCAGAACATGCCTTGCGGCGCTACATCAAAGCAGCGACCTTGTGGGGAGTTTGTGACCGGGGGGGAACCTCTTCACCTTAACCGGGTCCAAGTTAAGGGACACTGGACCCGTTTTCCAGCAGCAGGACAGGGCAAAGAGACGCTGGTCCCGGTTTCCAGTGTTTGAGGTATTCACAGTGCCCTTGATCCATGACGGGTTGGTCAAGTCCTTCAGTAGGAGACTGCAACAGTGTGCCCCGCAAGGAACCCAAGGAATCCTGGCCACCTCCTTGTCCTTGTGCAGCTCTAGGATCTCTACCGCCTTCTTGTTCACCAATGCGTTGTCGGTGCAGATGCCGTTGATGCATTTCAAGCCGATCTCCCTCATGACATGCTCCCACAACCTCGCCGACACCAGTGCATTCTTCTTCCTCGCCGTCATTGTCAGCGGTGCCACAAGGACCGCCTCCTGCTCCCTGGCTGCCAAGAAGTTCATCACTAGCCGATTCTTGTGGTCAGTTGACGCATCCGGACGTATCCCATCATGCAGTCGATGACACCAACTCCTTTTGGATCTTGAGATAGATCACATCCAACATGGCCGTCCTCATGTGGGTGTATGAAGGGAGCTTCACCTTCGGTCTCGCGCTCGCCACCTCCAAGTACACAGCATGCAATGCCTGCGTCATGTCCATATTGAGGAAATTGAATGTGATGCCATCCCTGCACATGGCCTCCGCCCACGCCATGTCCAATTTTTTTTGTGCCTCGTTATCCACCCACCGCCGCACAGTGGTCTATCGCGTCCTTTTCTACGCGTAGGTATAGGGGGGGATCAATTGATGATAAGGTGAGCTGAGGTGCGCCAGGTTTAGGGCAGCGACCAGCAGAAGACGTGACCAAACCACCACTTGAACGAAGGGTCACTTTTATGAGAGACGAATATCACAGATGGAATGACCAGATGAGAATCTATCACCCAGGGGTATCCCTGGCAACACGATCCCTGCAGACTTCATTCTCCAGGGAAAACCTCTCACTCGTTTGTCAGACGAACAGTAATGAGTTCAATAATGGTGGTCATGAATACTCAATAGAAATAACAAGATTCACATTCTGCCAGTATTCATATGACTAATACTAAAGGATTTGCAATCTGTTAACATCTGTCAAGAGGAAAAAAAAATAAAAGATTCATAGTCCGTCAACAACCTTAGATTGGTATCTGATGCCTCTGTTCCTGCCAACTCACATGAGATTCACCGAACGAGTCACCTACAAAGAAAGCCTTGTACTGGCAGGTTGGCGATGAAAGGCTCGTATCTGTTCTCGCGCTGCAAATCCGGTTCGGCGTTAGGTTGCTTGTGAGCAGGACGAAGTTGGTCTCATCGGAGAGTGCTTATACCTGATCCGTCTTCAAGCAGCCATCGCCTCGGCTGCCCATGCTCATTAAACATCTGGTTCGTCAATAAGAGGCGAGTATTTGGTTACTGATGATCATTCATTACTTGATTAGCGAGGGAGCACTCAACACGTGATCAGCCGATTTCCAATGTGAATTTGATTTACCAAGGAATAATCAATGCTTGGTCAGCCAATGAATATTCTACTTTCAATCTGCAGGTTTACAGTGGGCATTTGATTAGCCTCGGATCAACCAATACTCGGTCAGCCAATAAACAGTCAGAATGTAATATGCCGACGAGCAGAAAGCATTTGTCTTGTCAGTGAACGGCGGGAGATCACAAGGCAATCGACCTCCTGATTATAATCCACATACACCTGACCGTTGTTGCAGGCCGGGAGCACAATTTCAAATCACAAAATATGAGTGTTCCCCTCATACACCCTTGTCCGCACTCCCATACCCACTTGATCATGCGCGGTCCCCCATTTTGAAGCACAACACCACTCGCATTTTGCCTGAGATTCTCAGTCTTTTGCCTGAGTAAGTTTCCCCTCTCTCCTCAAATTCGATCTCAGCCTACTCTTGAAGAACTCCAATTGGCGAAGTGACCTAGCTGGGGAGTTTGCTCTACAATCACTACCCCTCTCTCCCCTTTTCAGGGAAGCAACCGCCCAGTTCCCCCTCACACTCGTTTTCTTTAACAGCTCGAACCCACTGGTTACTGCATCACCCTCGCCCATTGAACTACTTCGGGTAGCCGCAAACAAAACATACCTGGAGATTCTCTCGGTTTTTTACACTCATATAGGGAAGCGCGTCCCCAAGATTCGCTTCTGATCTCACCTTTCTTTCCCCATGCACGCCGTCATCACCGTCCACTACAGGTCCAACATATTCCATCCATTCATTATGGTTGTTGTCAAGCGATTCTGAAGGGGTACTTGTTTGTGTTTTCCCTCTTTGCTCACTATCTGAACTCGAAGGGTGGGGGTGCACCTGTAAGGCACGTGCTCTACCCAGAACGTCATCCTGGGCAGCCACACACTTGCTCAAACGATCCACACGCTCCCTCACTGCGCATTCTGCTACAGCTTCCCTGGTGACTGCCACCCGAACGGCTAATTCTCAGCGATCTCCAGCGCCGGCTGAGAACGCTTGACACGCCTTTCCTATGATGGTATGATCAGTCACGCTCGTAAGCCCCCCCACGATTGCTGGGGCAGTATCTCTTGCTCAACACTTATCCACCCACTTTCTCTCCTCTGTTCTCACGCGCCACATACGCTCGTTAACGCGCCCTCTGCCCGTTAGTCATGCCCGTTCTGCTGCCCAGTTCGCTGCTCTAAACTCGAGTGCGTTAGGGCGCGAGCCAAGCTGGGTACGATCAGTACTAGAAAGAAATGAAACGAGCTCTGGTGCTTCTTTCCTTCTCTCATTTACCTCTTCTAGTCAAGGTTGCCTCTTACTCATCATCATTATTCCTCGCTCCAGCTCACGCTCGCGGAGGCCACACACCTTTCCTGTCTCGGGAGCAGACCAGTTCTCTGACTGACATCGGCGGTCTCCACTGGTCGGTAGCTCTTTAGAAGGCTTGTTGCTGCACTGCGGATCCCACAAGCTCAAACGGATGGGAGCGAAGGTTGACAACAGTCGAGCTCTCCTTACTCTATGAACGTTGAAGGGGAGTCATTCCCCATCCCAACACCTGTCATAAGCCTGCAAGTGTTCCCTGCATAGCCTTCGCGAGGGATCCACCTTTCTTCCTTCCCATCTCGATGCGCAGACGGTCAGTACCTGTTTCTCACCAGGCCCAAGTGTGCAGTCGATGTGTACGCCGTGCGCGCTTCCCCCCTTTCTGCTATGTCCGAATCTCCTCCATAGCTCATCGACTATTCCCCACTGCCTTGTCATCGCTTTGTCGCTCGTACTCGCGAACAGGGATCTTCATGCCCTGACCGAAATGCTCATTCGCTCTTCATCGCCTTCCACTCGCAACAACAGTTCCGCAGGTACCGAGGCCCCTCAGTCATTGTCAAGTGCATCAACCCCACACCCCACACCGTACCGAGGAATAACAGTATCAGGCGGCAGAGAACCATTCCAGTTCTGATCCAACAGACACAGCAAACCGTAGTAACTTGTTTTGTCGCTGTTCCAGTAGTCGTACGGAGCATTAACATCGAACTGCAGCGGCCTGTACCATTGCTATACCAAGGGCAAACTAGAAACTGCACCAAGGATAATCGTTTCAAACTGCAGAGAACTGTAGCCGTGTCAAACCAACAATTGTACCAGACCAGTGCCAGTTCAGTGACCGTGTCTAAGATAATAGTACCGTATTGTCGTAAGCTTTACCAATGCTGGTCCAACCAATCATCTCATCCTTGCATTGGTCCAACCAATCATCTCATCCTTGATCCGTGGTGGCCTGTACCTTCGTTGTCTGAGTGGTCGTACCAACCTGACGCGGCCACCGTAACCAGAAAACAGTTCGGTCGATCCAACTTCCGACGTACCCGTTGGTCCGTTCCATCATAGCATTGTGATAAATACTGCCCAAATAATTGAGTGTCTTCGCACTCACTCTAAAATCCACAGAGTTATGGGTATCGCACACATAATGATCCTCGGTTTATAACAAAGGTAATAGCTAAGAATAATTTCAGTAAAACGCGACGAGGGATAATAATTAGGGAAAAATCGTTCAGATCAAAAGGGAAAACAATAGGTAAATTCCAGTTAAAATTCAATGAAAGAGCGATCTGCAAGGAAGATGAGCAATAGCGAACTCCAGAACGCAAACAGCATCATACATAAGTTACCAGATAGCCATGACCTCGAACCATAAGCAGAATGGCATCACGAGTTTCACCCAATAAGAACACAGCAATAGTTCGTGATTGACAATGCTGAAGTTGTCTCCCATCATCATCAACAAAGAACAAGAGTTGATATCCTACTGGCGCTCGGCGCCCAGACCACAAGATGGCAGGTCCTATCTAGCCTACTACTACAATGCCGAAGTTGACGTCAACAGCTTCACCGAAGTACGAGCATATGCGGCCAATGCCGCTCGTCTCAAGCACCAGGTATGTCTCCCACTTTGCTCTCAACCCCGATCCTTACCACACAGATGCCTCTAGCACCCAAGGACCACCCAGCGCCCCACCTAGCAAACAGCAGGCAGCGTGGCTATGGCTGCCTGCTTCTTCCTCACTCGCCCGTGAGTGCGAGGGCGCCAGCCAGCAAATAGCGCAGCAGTGCTGTCGCAGCATGCAGCCAGCACCCGAATCTCCAATGAGGAGGCAGGCCCTTCCCTATATCGAAGTGGCCTGCCTGCGTCCAGTCCAGGAAGCTTCCAGTAGGCCCCGGTAGCCTGAGGCCCAGTCACGAAGAATGCAGGCATTGGGCCTGAGGTAGTTGCATACACCCAACTGCTTTCGGCCTGTGCTTGGCCCGGTACCCGTACCCAGCCCAGGGCCTGCTTTACATTCATTCACACAKGCGGCCCAGGGCGTGAGTTCATTCAACCAACTGATGCTGTGTAACTGCCTGAATTTCCCCATTTGCGGGGTACCCTGAAAACGAGGCCCTGAGGGCCTGTCGTGCCTGCCTTCACTTAGGGCGGCCGACCTTGCTGCAAATAAGGCCCGTAGGGGCTAAGCGGGCGTAGCCTCGCAGATCCATTAAAATTTGTTAAATGATAAGATAATAGGTTTTTTTTTTTTTTTTTTTCATCATTTTAATTTTTATTGCTTATTTTTAATTTCATCATGAAATCAGAAAAAAATTGAGGCCTCTTTCATCGCCAGCTGATCAGCGTGAAAAAGATCGCACGAAGGCCTACTACCATACCCTCGTTCCGCAGCTGCATGCCTTGGAAACAGCCTCAGAACAGACGAAAAGGGTAAATGTCAAGCGTGGTAGAGGTGGTTGTTCATCTCATTAATTTTAAGGGTTAGTTCCGGTGCCCGACGCAGGGTAATTCAGGGTTCCTCTGATGACCCCTAATTTTCCCCGATGGTTCTGACGAGAGTACCCGACAAATCCTAATCGGACGTTTGGTTGAGGGACGAATTTCTCATATGTCGGGTGGCCGACTGGGCTGCGGCCGCCCGAGAGTAAGTCCGGACCTCTTCTCGACGTCCCCATCGAGAACTCGTCGTGTTGGTCAGAAGAAACGTACAAGTTTCAAAGTGATTGCCCGTATGTGCCGCCCTCGTCGACGCTTGAGTGTCTTGTGTTTGGGTTCCTGGAAGCCCTGGAACTGAGAAGACGCTTCTTATTCTTTCTAATTCTGCGTTGCTTGGGTAAGGCAAGGGAACGTTCTTCTGCTTCTTTCTTGGAAACGGTCTGAATGCACCGGCCAGTCTGATGCAGAGTCTTCGTTTCGGGCTCCTGAGTACAAAAAGTCACTTCCTTTTCTTTCCTAATGTCAACCCCTTCACTTTCCGGGTCTCTGCCCTTTTCCTCTTTCTTGAACTCTCCCCTATCTCGAATCGTCTCGATGGTGATTCGTCTGTTAGGTTCGCCTTCCCCTTTCCTTTGGGGTCGGATAGTGCTGGTGTAGGAGTCGAAGGTCTCCTTGGTCTAAATAATTCCAGCCTGGCCCCAACCACTGGATCTCTCCACTTAGATCCGTCTAATTCAGCTATCATATACGCTCCCCAATCTCGCGCTTCAGCCACGTGATAGGGTCTCATCCATTTATTCGCCAGTTTTTCCGACCACGTTCTCTCCAAAGCCACGTCATAGAGAAGGACCATATCTCCCACACTTATCCTCTCCTTTCTAATCCTGATATTCTTATCCCATCTCTCTTTCCCTTTCTCTCTTTCTACGGCCAGTCGATCAGTTGCTGTCATGAGACTGTCCTCTAATCCATAGGTTATCTGTCTTGTTCGTGCAACCAAAAACTCCTCTCGCTACATGTTGTCCGCCCAGTCAATGGTAGTCTAGCTGTCAACGTCGAACTCTATGGGCAAATGGCAATGCCTACCAAACCATAGGGGGTAAGGAGGGTAGCCTGTGCTAGCCCGGACCGTGACATTGTCCGCCCATATCGCGTATCGAAAGTATTGCGGCCAATCATTGTTCCTCCCTCTGCACCACTTAGACAACAAGGTTATCAAGGACTGATGACCTTGCTCTACAGGTGAATTGGACTGAGGATGATAGGCAGTGGCTATAGAGACTCTAGCCCCTGCCTTCTTGAATACACTCTGGACTTCGTCCGCCAAGAACTCCGCTCCCCTATCCATTACAATCCTACTAACACAGCCGTACCTAGATAGGTATTCTATAACAAAGTTCTTGACTTCTTTAGACGACTTTGTTCTAATGGGTTTTCTGTCTGCAAACCCTGTGAAATCATCCCTGATGTTTACCACATAGTTCATATTCCCTACTCCTTTCGGCATCTTCACTAAGTCGATATGCACCTTCTCACCCGGTCTAGTAGGATAGGAAGGATGAAGAGGCTTCTTGTAACTCACAAGGGCTCTTTTCTGACACTTCTCGCAGGTCACGCAGTACTTCTCAACGTCCTTGTACCGACCTTCCCACCAGTACAATCTGCGCACTTTCTCACACGTGCCCTTTACTCATCTATATCCACCAACTACACGATCGTGAAGTTTGACTACTGTAGACCGTCTTTCATTAGGATCACAAACCACTCGTAGAGACATTCCTGATCCCGTAGGCCTACGAAATAAGTGTCCTGATCTAAGACAGAACTGAGCTGCCTTCTGATCTCAGGATCTTGACTGTCCTCACCAGACAGATGTAGTCCAATTGTTCGGTACTTCCCTTCGTAGAGGTTAACCAGAAACCGATCCACTCGTCTTGGTTCAGTCATAGTCAATGATGCTGCAACTATTGGTCGCTTTGTGTCGATCGAAATTCGCGAAAGCCCATCGGTGACCACGTTCTTAGTGTCCAAGATCTATGTATCACCCGCGGTCATGACCGCGGACTTTTTTGCCGCTTGCGGTCGGGACCGGCGGTCGACCCCTGCGGCTGACTGCGGGCATGAAACCCGGGGATTTAAAAAAAATA